GGATGCTGGGGAGGGTCCCAGGCTTGTCCTCCCGGATGCTGGGGAGGATGCATCCACATCCTTGGGTATTTGAGGCACTTCTGCCTCTTCAATTAGGAGGCTGGGGAAGGAAACCCAGGGTGTCTTAGGAGCTCCCAGAGAGGCCTAGGTCAGAAGCACAGGGTGACTCTGGGTAGCCATGGCTAGAGCCATACCTAAGACCTTCACTTTGCCTTCCTCCAGTACCCAGTGTGATCAGAAAGACTATCAGACCAAGATAGGCTATAGAATTTGTGGGGCTAGTCCAAATGAAAATACCAGGCTTCGTGTCCAAATTACTAGGAAGTTGACATTAAAGCATCACACTAAGCATGGGTCACGGGCGAGCACATAAAGTCAGCTTCACCTGGGAGGTCACCTCAGGCTTTTGCAGGAGTCTCTTACGTGAGACATGCCTGGGCAGATGGAGTCAGGCCTAACATGTGGGTGCCACTCAACCTGGCTGAGACTCCACCCTAGCCAAACTTGCTCTGACATCCACACAGTCATCACACTATGCTGTGTCTTCAACTGCCGTGTACCACGGACACGGAAGGAGATTGAGGCCCGGTATCTGCAGCGAAAGGCGGCCAAGATGTACACGGACAAGCTGGAGACCGTGCCTCCCCTTAACGAACTCACAGAAATCCCTGGAGGTAAGTAGATTCCAGTCCCATGGCAGCCAGTCCTGGATCCCGCAGCCAGCCAGTTCCTCAGTCCCGCTGTCCTAATTCACCCTGTCTCCCTGCAGCTGGTTCAGAGAAGGGACTGGGCACTGTCCCAGGAGACCAGAGTGCAGAACTGGTCAGAGCCAGGCAGCTAAAACAAGAGCCCATTTGTAGCAGAAAAGTTGTGTGTGTGTGTTGGGGGGGGGCACTGGGGAGGCGGCTTGGCCAGTAAGGTCTTTGCCATACACGCACAAGGACCTGACTTTGGGTCTCCAGCACCCACAAAAAAAAAAAAAAAAAAAAATTAAACAACAAAAACCAGGCATGATCATGCACCTGTAAATCTCAGTGCTGCGGAGAGAGTGACAGAAGGTTCCTGAAACTCACTGGCTGGCTAGTCTTGCCAAATTGGTGGGCTCCAGGCTTCTCAATAAGTAAATAAGGTAGAGAGCCAAAGAAGACACTCAGCATCAACCTCTGGTCTCCATGTGCATGCCCACACATGTGCACACTCAGCACCGACCTCCGGTCTCCATGTGCATGCCCACACATTTGCACACTCAGCATCAACCTCCAGTCTCCATGTGCATGCCCACACATGTGCACACTCAGGATCAACCTCCGGTCTCCATGTGCATGCCCACACATGTGCACACTCAGCACCGACCTCTGGTCTCCATGTGCATGCCCACACATGTGCACACTCAGGATCAACCTCCGGTCTCCATGTGCATGCCCACACATGTGCACACTCAGCACCAACCTTCGGTCTCCATGTGCATGCCCACACATGTGCACACTCAGCACCGACCTCCGGTCTCCATGTGCATGCCCACACATGTGCACACTCAGCACCACACACAGGCATGCATACACACGTACCTCAAATAAAAATGATCTGAGAAGGGAGGCTGGGAAGGCAGAGAGGAGGGCTTTGGGACCTTCCCTCTCTCACCACTGCGGCCTCTTCCCCCACCCTCAGAGGATAAGAAGAAGAAGAAGAAGGACAGTGTGGACACGGTGGCTATCAAGGTAGAGGAGGAAGAGAAGAACGAGGCCAAGAAGAAGAAAGGAGAGAAATGAGGAAAGCATCCTGGTGGTGGCAGCTGGGACTGGCAGGCCTTGAAGCCCAAGTTCAAGCCAGGATCCAGGCACCAGGACTCCACGTTCATCCATGGACCACAGAGGCTATGGTCTGAGAAGCCAAGGCCACGGCCGTTATGTCATGGCCCAAAAGGTGTAGGGACAAGACTTGACGAGTGTCCATCCTGGACTCTGTTCCTTTCACATCACCCGTCTGGGCACTTGTCTCGGGCCACTGTCCCTCTGCAGATATAGAGTGGTCTTGGACTCCTCCCCACATCCAGGCAGGCCTCTGGCCCACCCTTTCTGCCAGGGGCAGAGGTGGCCGTGAAGGAGTCAGAGATTGGCGGTTTCGGATGGCAGGATCGAACAGGTTGTGTATGAACCCGTAAGCATGGAGGGCTGGCTGATGGGGAGCTGGTGACATGAGAGATTCCCTGACATAGCTAGATAGCAGCCCTGATAGCAAGGAAACTGCCCCAGGCTTGGCAGGAATCTGTCCCTGGCTGCCGAAGTGGCCCCATTATCAGGAGGGCTCCTGACCTGGCAAATGCTAAGCTCTGAAAACAAGATGCCAATGTGTAGAGCTGGGGCCGCTGAGGGGCTGGCATGAGGCCCAGAGCCTAAGGTCTTCTGGCTCAGGGGTAGGGTTTGAAAGACGAAGAGGGCTGAGGCCGGGGGGCTGAGCGAGAAAGCCTGGGTCTCCCCATGGCCTGCTGAGCACAGCAGTGTGCAGTTCCTCTTCTGCCATGTCCCCTACCGAAAGAAGCGTCTCTGCCAAGAAGACTATTCAAACGCCATTGAGGGGTTGGCTCTAGAGGAGAGAGATGTGTGAGGCGCTTCCAACGTCAAAATGAGGAGCTCTGACCAGAGCTGGGGACGGAGACTCTGGGAAAGTTTTCCAGGAGGGAAGCCTGCTAGAAAGGTGTCCTGAAGAGATCTGTCAACAAAGCTGGGTGCCTGCTCAGCCCCAGACAAATAAAACTTCAACCTGAGATGATCTCCACCCCGTCCCATGCTTTGCCAAGCCCTGGAGGATTCCGGTAGAAGGCGACACAACAATCCGTAATAATAGGTGACTCGGGCAAGCCTGAAGTTCTCTCCCTGACCCCTGTCCCAGACTGAGACCAAAAAAAAAAAAGGGGGGGGGGGGGG